TGGATTTATTTTATGCTTTCTTTCTTTTCTATTACCCCATCACTTACTCTTTCTCTCTCTTTATATAGGTCTTAAAAATATATATAATCCTGACAAAGTTTTCTTTAAAATTTTTGATAATCAGAAATGTTTATGAATGTAGATTTGTTTAGAAATATATTTCTAACCAAATATACTTTTGTGCATGCACACTGTTTTTGATTTGGCTGACTGCATAGTATAGTAGGGTCAGTTGGGCACCATCTATGAGAAAAAGAGCACCATGATGCAATTCACTCTGCCAGAAATTTAGAAATTGTATGCTGTACAGCTTGACAGTAATGTTGGAAGCTTCAATATAAACATTTTAAAGTATTTGGGTGTCAATCTGAGGACAGTGCAGAGGATTTGGAAAGAATTGGATGGGTCTAATGGTGATTATGAAAAAACACTGTGATTGTTGGGATAAGAACTCTCAAATCTGATGGTGAGGGCCCAAGACTCAACATGCAGGCCTACATCAAGTACCCTGACGAGATAGTACTGCCCTGGGTCAAGAGGATGGCTGCTGGATGAACTTCTGTCTGGCAACAGGAGTCTGCACCATGCCACACAAGCAGGAAAACCCAGTCATGACTGTCGGACAATTTCTGCGACCACATCACCCCTTATAACTCCCCAGACTGCAACCCCCTTGATTATTATTATGTGTGAGGCGCAGTTGAGCGAGCAACCAACAAAACTCCTTGTAACACCAAAGATAAACTGCAGGCAAGGATTATGGTAGCATTCACCAACTTAAACAAGGAGACCACCCAGAAGAGTTGCAGGAGATTCCAAAGTTATCTAGAGGCCATAGTTGAAGCCAATGGCAATTTTATTGAATAAATTTACTCTTTAGCATTTCAAGATATTTTTGTGTAATTTGGTAAATGTTGTGACTAAGTAAATGGTTAAGTAATAACAAAACCAAGGTTTGCAGATATTTCATATATTAAACAGTAAGTACACCAGAAGAGTATTAGTTGACAATTGACAGTTGAGTGTATCGAATGAACTAGTGCTCGATCTATTCACTGTTCCCCGAAGCCTTTTGTCCTATTAATCTTATACTAGGCGGAAGAGTCTAACATAGACTCTTTAAGGGGAGGACACCACAACACGCCCCTTTTCAGCCTGACTCTGAATGGAGGCTTTTTTTTTTTTTTTTAATTACCACACAATACTTTTTATTCAATCCTTTTCCACAAAAAAAAAAAAAAATCAGAAACAACCACTTTGAAAAAGCTATATACAGGAATTTTTTTTTTTTTTTTTTTTAAATGATAATAATTTCTAATGATCCAATGCATATTGTGCTTTTCTGGTAATTCAAAGTGAGGAGGTAGGTATTTTTACCCATTCACTTCCTTTTTCTGTAGACATGGTATGACATGAAAGGCATTCAATATTTTTCAGGTTAATTTCTAAAGTTTCCGCAAATTTCCTTTTTCTTTGGGGCCTTTTCAGCTCTCAAATCTTGCATTCTTGGTACAAAAATATAATTGTCAAGACCTAAAAAAAACTTTGAAGAGCCAACGCATTTTCTGGTGCTGGCGTATTCCTCATTGTTGTTGCCCTATCTGGGTCGGGATGTCTTCCGTCTTTGTCAATTATTTTCCCCTAGTACTAAATCCGTCTCGAAGAAAAACTCACACTTTCCATATTTTAATTTAAATCTGTAATCCTGGATTCTCTTGAACACTTACCAAACGTGTGATTTGTGTTCCTCGATGCTCTTGATTTCATTAGGACATCGAGATAGGCCACCACAAAATCCAGACCATTTAACATTGTGTACATGACCTGTTGAAAAATGGAAGGGGCAATCTTAACCTTGAATGGAAGTCTTAAAAATTTGTATAAGCCCTTGTAGATGTTTATGCAAAGGAGATGCAAGCATTCCTCGTCCACAGGTATTTGTAGATATGTGTTGCTTAAGTTGATCTTAGAGAAATATTTTCCTCCACTGAGCTTAGCAAATATCTCCTCTGGAATTGGAAGGGGATAATGATGATCCTTCAGGGGGCTGTTCAGACCCATAGAGAAGTCAACACATACACGAATTTCTTTGTTTTTTTTTGTTTTTTTTTAAAATATAAACTGTGGGAGATGCCCATTCACTATATTCAACCTTTCGCAGAACTCGCATTTCCTTAAGTTGATTCAATTCTTCGTCAATTTGATTTAACAAGGCAAATGGAATATTACACTTTTCCTTAAAAACTGGGTTTATGTCTGGCTTTAACTCAAACTTAGCAGACATTTTTGTGCATTTTCCTAGTCCTCCACTGAAAACACCAGGAAATTTTTTTAAAGTTCTCTTTTCAACTTTTCCACTTCATCAGTCACATTTTTGACTTTTTGACATAATGAGTTAATAGACATATCCCAAAGCTGAAACTGTTCTAACCAATCAGTCCCAAATAAATTACTCGTATTCTTCATAATATACGCCTTTAGTTTTAAAGTTTTACCTTTAAATGATACGTTCATTATAAGTTCGCCTATAAATTTAATAGGATCGCCAGCTACACTTTTAGCTATTCAGTTCATTCTTAACAAAGTCGGCTTACCCAGTTTTTTCCATGTTTGATAATCAATTATGGATAAGACTGAACCCAAATTAAGCTGTAGCCTTATATTTTTGTTAAATATTTGCACTTCAATATATTTTCTGATGTCACGACTTTCTGGTTCATCAGACTTGGTAATTTTTACAACACATTTTTTTGTTTTGTTCTTAATCCTGCAGTGGGAACTTTTGTGTCCTAATTTATCGCAATTAAAACATTTATGTTTAAAAGTACAATCTCTATACCAATGTAATTGACCACACCCGAAACATGGTCTTGAAAGCAAAGTAACTTTATTCTTTGGTTGGCGTATTTTTTTAATTTTTCTTTGGCGTATTTCTTTAATGTGAGCCGCACCACTCTGTTCAATGTTTTTCGAATCCTCTCTGACATTTAAGAAATGTTGACAATCTTCAGTAATTTGCTGTAAAGTAACATCAGGCTTGTTTTCAAGCTTGTTGAGTACCCAACGACATATTTCGGCGTCTTTTGCTGAAATCAAACCCTGGACAAAAATCAAACATTTAAAATTTATTGGCACTTATAATCTTTGTCTTTTTTTGCAGTTGAGATTCATGCATTTCCAGCACTTGTAGAACAGTGATGTTTTTGGACTGAAGAATTCTGTTAATGATTGAACTGCCTCTTTAAATTTCAAGTTGCTGGTTTTCTTAGGCAAAATATAGTTAACAAACTTAGTATATTCTGCTGTGCCTAATTTTCTGAGGAGTAGGCGAACCTTTTTATGGTCAGGCCAAGTTGCACAATCTGTATTGTATAAGTCCTTGTAACGTTTAAAGTACAAAACAAATGTAATTTTCTTTTTCAGGGGCAAACATGCAGTTTTCAATAGCACTCCATATAGTATTTTGAGAGAATGCATTATTGCTACCCTCATTTTGTTTTTTATGGACATATGAGTGCCTTTGCTCATTCTGTGTTTGAAGGAGCATTTCTTCCAGTTTCTGTTGTCTAACCTGAATTTCTAGGTGCAATTCCTCAAATTTCTTATGGCATTCTGCTTGTTCTCATTGGAATTCCTCTTGTCTTTCTTAATATTTCTGTTCCAACAGTAGTTGTTGTTCCTGTTGGTGTTTTGCATGTTCTCGGAATTTCTCTTGTCTTTCTTGGTATTTCTGCTCCAACAGCAAATGTTCTTGTTGGTGTTTCTGTCTTTCTTGATATTTCTCTTCCAAAAGTAGTAGTTGTTCCTATCATTACACTTTTAAATTTGTCCATTTTACTGTGTAAAACTAAGAAATGAGAGGGGGGAATTTTTTCCTCTTTACCCTCTTAAATAAGTCTGTTTGACGTGTATGATTCTTTTACTGAAAAAATTTAAAAGTGGGTAAATTTTTACTTTACCTTATCAGCAAAAACAATAAGTCTGTTTGACTTGTATAGTTCTTTTACTAACTTGTTGGAATGGAAAAAAATAACAAGGTTCACCAACCTTCTTCCCAACCACTGAATTGAACTTGTAGAAATCCTCTTGTTTTGAAGAGTTTCTTTTTTCACTTTCAGTGTTGTAATTAACACTGGATACCCTTTTGTTGTAGAGTTTGATTAGAATTCCTTTCTTCACCACTGTTGTAGACACTGGTAAAAAATTTTTTTTTATGATTTAATGTGAAGTCTGTTTCTTTGAATCCTTCGTCACCAAGTTGTTGTGACCAAGTAAATGGTTAAGTAATAACAAAAACCAGGTTTGCAAATATATCGTATATTAAACAGTAAGTACACCAGAAGACTATTACATGACTAATGAGAGTGTATCAAATGAACTAGTGCTCAATCTATTCACTGTTCCCCAAAGCCTTCTCTCCTACTAATCTTATAGTAGGCGGAAGAGTCTAATGTAGACTCTTTAGAGGGAGGACACCACAACAGTAAATATATCTGTTAAAATTAGATGTCAGTTTTATTTTCATTTTTACGTAATTTAGATGGTAATTCACTCATTGCACCATATATATATATGTAGACATATGAATTAATACTGCATGGTTGTGTGTGTGTGTGTATATATATATATATATATATATATATATATATATATATATATATATATATATATACTAGGTGTATCAAAAATACTTTTACACACTTTGAGGGCACATTCCTGACACCAAAACAAGGTAAAATGTTCTTATAAACATATGTCCAAAAGGCCATTGTACCTCAACACACCAACTCAAATGTTCAAAATGTCCTCTGATTGCTTTTACGCATGCATGCACCCATCAGATCATTGACTTTTGGTCCATTGCAAATACTCCCACATGGTTTTGCAGGTCTTGATGAAATGTTAATGAAGTGTCTCCGCCTTATTAATGTCTGCTGCATAATTCAATTATTTTAGGTGACTCCACAGATAAAAATCCAAAGGATTGAGGTTGGGGAAACATGCAGGCCATGGAATTGGTCCTCCCCTATCTATCTATCTATCTATCTATCTATCATGGTAGATGTCAGCTTGTACATCGTGAATAATATCACTAAGATGTGCTTGAGCCACATCATGTATGACCCGCAGGGGTACATCCTCTAGCAGGTCTGGAAGTGAGTTCTGGAAGTCCTGTAAGATATGTTGGGAGAAAATATAGATCTACCAGCCAGTCACCTACAATTCCAGCTCACACATCTCTATTGTGCCATGGGGATTCCAATCTACCGATAAATGATGGTTGTGTAAATTTGTTATTCCATCTATTCCAAATGTTGCCTCATCCTTAAACAAGACTGAAGTGATTAACAACAGATTGGCAGTTTGTGCAATAAAAGTTCTCTCGTAGTGAGTGATCAGAGGGCAAAAGACCCTGCATATGTTGCAAATGATACTGATAAAGGAGCTGCTCTTGAAGTACTCTCCATGCAGTATTAGATGTATGACATGCTAGGGCCACTTGACATTTTCTGATACCTGGATTGTCTCTGACAGCCTGTAGAATGTGTTCTCCATGGTCAGGTGTACAAGCAGATCTTAGTCTTTCTCAATCCCTAGTCAGTCATACCACATATCCTGTCTCAGCAACATGACAATAAATAGTAGCAAAGGTTGGATGACTCAGCTGCCTTCAAACAGGAAACGCAATCTGATATGGCTGTGCAGCCTCATATCCATTACCATTTGTGCAGCCATATGTAAAAATCATAGCTTCTTGTTCATGATATGAATATCCTATCATTGTTAAATGGAACACCTCTTGGTTCTCACTACTAAACTTGTTAAGCATTGAAAACAGACTAGTGACAAATGTACATGAATGACAAATGTAACCTAGTCTACATGGCAACACAGCACCATCTAACATAAAATTTCTTTAACAAAAATGAAGTATTTGTGAACATATGTTTATATGGACTTTTGTCCTTGTTTTGGTGTGAGGAACCCACCCCCAGAGTTTGTAAATATATTTTTGATATACCACATATATATATATATATATATATATATATATATATATATATATATATAGTTTTTATGACAGTCCCTCTCTAAAACATGTTAGATGAAAGATGACTGAAAAAGGTTCATTTTTGTTTTTTTTGTTTTTTTCTTGTATATATGGACAAGAAATTCCTTTTTGGGACTGAACATGTGTATGAATTATCCAAAAGATTGTTCCTACCAATATATATCTGTACACACACACACTTTGTTCCTCACTGGTAACACAGCATGATTCAGTCATCAGGGCAGTTTTCAATCAACAACTAACGATTACATTGTGCATGGAACTCGATAGGAAACAAAATGTATATTTATTATTAACATAAGTTTCACCTCTGTTATTATAAATTGAGTATTGTTTTATTCTTACCAATAATCATTGTGCGATATTTATATACACACGTGTGTGTGTGTGCAAATAGAAAAGATTAAGGTGTGCATGTCTGTCCATATATGTTGAATACTTACATACAATGAAATATATATTAATATTTTATTTGACTATGTTTACTGAACAAAATTCCAGAAAATTCACACCTGTTAATTAACTGTGATTTAATTTGTAAGAACTGGTAATTAAGTTTGATGAATTAAAAAGGAATGGCAAATCTCTGCTAATTATCTCTCTCTACCCTCGTTATTCTGTTAATTCATTAATAATCTTTGAAAATACAAAATGAGTATTCTTCATATAAGTGAAATTTTCATTCTTTTTAACAAATGTAGGAATGTCTAATAATCTCTCCTCAAATGTAGGCTTGTCTCTGTACCGACACAGAAGGGTGCCTTATGAATGTGATAGTTGTGCATTAGGCATTACTGTTACTGTATAAGACCAGTTTAAAGCCAGTATTTGGAATACCGGTTTTTTTTTATTTTGTTTTATGAAGCAGGCTTGCTCTACTTGCAAGATAGGTGGAACACTATTTTCTGGCCCAAATTCATTCTTATTTGACCTTTCACAATATTATATTAATTTGTGGAATGTTGAGGGGGTGAAAATTTGACCATGTAAATATCTTTAACTTGTCAGCAAAAGTAAATGAAATATAAAGAAAACAGGTTAAATGTAAATAAGAAATTTTCATATTCCAGAATTTTTTTTTTTTATAGGAAAAAATAATTTTCTTTTTTAATCCAGTTTCTTATAAAACCATAGGAAAAACTCAACCCAAGAAGATTTCTTAGACTCCATTTGCTACTTTGTTTATCAAACAGACTGACTACTTGATACATTGCCCTTTTATTTTATACCTGGCACATGGATGTAGTAGTAGACAAAAATACAAAAATAGTCAGCCCTATTTGAATATGTGTTACTTGAAGAGTATAAAATTTCTAATAGCTCTACATGTTCATAAGCTGAAAATTTGCAGATTAATAATTTCAAATATGTTTTAAATGCCGTGTAAATTTTATCTTTCTCCATAAAATGTCAGACTTCAGTGAGCTGGCCTCTAAACAACAAAACAAAGAATAGCCTAAAACAAAGACACTTGTTTCTTGTCGATTAGGTTACCACAAATGAAAAGTGAAGACCACTGACAGGCTGACATGTCACCGCAATGTCTTTCAGGTGACCCACCTTTACTGAATCTGACTAGAGAATGAAGAGAGGGGAGTCAGTGCCATAAAGTTTATGGTTCCTCTCATCACCTGTCTTTGATTAAACTTTTGACTTGAAGAGATTAATATTGAAGTGTTCAAGGAAGCACTCATGTGGGAGTCTGTTTCATAACGTGCTAGTTTTTGGAAAAAGCAGTCAGTGGAACTCTCTTCTTACATTAGGAACATGGAGAAAATGAGTTGTGGGTGAGGTGGTGTATTTTATATTATAACACCTATCCTTGACTGGTGTGAAAAAAAAAAAGACCCGGATAGTACAATTTGCAAATAAAAAATATATTCAAACAAACTGGTATCAGGGAAAAAAATTCAAAAAAAAGAAAAGACTGAAAACATCCGTGTTGTTTGAAAGAAATCACCCAACACTGCAATGTCTAGCCAAAAGAAGAAAAAAAAAACAATTGAGTAAAATAAGAAAAATCATTTAGCCCTGAAGATCCCTTAGGTGAAACCTTAGTAGTTAGTTCCTGGCTCATTAGGATTTTATATATATATATATATATATATATAAATTAGATCAGCCAATTCCACTACCTTGATTTCAACCTTTTGGTGTCTTCAGTCAATTCATTTCCTAATGCTTTATTCTTAAAAAAAAAATATAAAAAATTTTATGAACACTATATTTTTAAAAAATAAATGAGGTAGAAGCTGAGGAGGGGGAGGAGAAAAGCAAGTATATTGAAAATTTATTGGTGGGAGGTTAAATGAAATATACGTACTTTCTTTTCATCCTTGATATGTCTTCCATAGAAAAAAATTAAATTTCCAGCTGTCACTAGAACTATCAACACCTAATAAAAATACCTAGCTCTGTGTTAAAATAATGCATTTCTGTGGTATCATAAACTAAAATTAAGTAATATTTGTTTCACGTCAGATTAATTAAAGTTTAAACCAGCTAATATTCCTCAAATAAATTTTCAGAAAAGTATATTTTTGAAAGATATTTTTAAAGAGAATTACATTGTGATGACAGATGGCTAAAATAAATGGTTTTCATTGATTTCACAAAAAAATGCTTTCCAGTTAATTTAAATTAGGTTTTGAAATACTGTAAAGTATTTTGCTTATTGGAAATAATACAGTTAACCTATTAGCTTGAAATTAAAACTAAAATAAAAGCTTCAAGAAAGATTTTTTAATTTTAAACTTTAGGTATTGCATTTCTTTAAATGCATAGTTTTTCTGTAAATGGCATTTTAGTATAAGTATATATTTTCCAAACAAAAATAGGTGGTGATGCATGATTCATGTTCACAATATTAAGTGTAAATATTTTGTTTTAGAATGAAGAATATCATATAAAGTATTAATTCCTGTATTTTAAAAATAAGAATTAGAAATCAAATGTAGGAATATTCCATATTTGATATGAAGTAAAAGCACCGATTCATATCAAAGGATTTGTAAATAGTGCCACTTAGCTATTTTGACTGAATTAAAAATTTTTAAAAAAGTGATTTGCTGATTACTCTTAAGTTTTGAATATAAGTGGCAATTGGAAAAGTGGGGTGTGGTTGGATGAGATAATGAAATATTGGGGAGACAAAAAAATTCTCTCCCTACAACCATATTAAAACCTGTATTTAGAGATTCTTGATAAAATACAATGAAGAATTTGCAATATTATTGGTTCTGACCTGACATCTCAGCTTCAATCACTTCCCCACTACTATGACATAACTTTCCTACACCTTTCATATAAATGCTTTTATAATAATGGTTCTGGTGAGCTTTCCTCTTTGGTACCTAGACTTTATGAATTGAAGTGTACTACTAGATTGTCAGCAAGGTCTCGTCATCTTACAGTTGAAATGGCTATATGTAACTGTAAGTTCTATGGTAACAGTTTCTTCTCTTGCACTTGTTGCTTGTGGGACTCTCTTCTGGCTTCTTGCTTTCCAGTCAACTTTGATCTTCAAAAATTGCAATGTCAATCATCATCTTCTGTCTTCTTAATTCCTGTTCTTTTATTGTACTCTCTCCTTAATAATGTTTTGTTTTTCTTATATTTTCTCACATTCAGTAACTTCTTTGCATTTTAGTGCCTTTATTGCTTTGCTTGGGGTGAAATGATAAAAAAACAAAACAAATAGTGTTAATATTTAAACAAATGTATGGAACATTGAAAGTTGTCTTATGACCAACAAATGCAGAAAGCCTTACTTATACGATTTACCCATTACAAGGCTCGGGTGCCAATACTGATAAAATGGTTATGATGAATGAGTGTGGGATATGAATGTTTGAAGCAGCAACATCAAAATTTCAATTCTTGGAGTAAAAAAAAGCTATGTCAGTGGAACTTTGTTTGGAATATGGAAGAAGTGAGGATGATTCTGGCATGTCTTAGATATAAAGGTTTGAACAAGACTAACAGA